AACGTAAAGCCCAGGCAGGGAAGAAAACCTAAAATTCGAGTCATAATCCATTGTGACTGTCAGTTTGTGCCAACAGATTTATGGCACCAGAGTCTTCGATGTCACATCGGTGTGTGTTACCATCTGCCATTCCAGTATTTTTCCAGAACTCCATAGGAAAGGCAGTGTGCAATTACTGGAAATGGTGAATAGCTTCTGCATTATATTTTATTTTTGGAAAGCACATTCAATTGGAAAGGAACAGCCCCTGGGCTAAAATGCAATCAAGTCAACAAGACAATCCTCTTCAGAGCATTTGAAGCCTGTAGTGTTGGTAGGGCCGTCCGTTTGGAAAGGCAGGGATGCAGCGCGTTCGCTTCTGCAGTTCGGGCTTCACATGTTTCCTTTTCACTAGGTCTGCGGGGGAACATCTGGTGGAACGTATTAGGAAGCAGGACTAGCACAAGAAATCACTGCCCCATAAGAACAATTGATCTTTCCGATGTAGCAAAGGAGTGTGTTCTCCCTTAGGCCTTACTCTCCTTCAGATTACTTTAACAGGAGGTAAAGGCTATTTCTACAGTGCATGTGCTCACCAATATGCTCTTATCGTTGCCAGACTAAAACAAGAGAGAAACTCGGGTGTTCAGTGTAAGCACTCCTCTTATTCCTATTTATGGTTTGACATGCGTTTTCAGGAAGATTATTTATTTGGCTAGAAACTTCTAGGTTAGATTGTTTTGGACTGCTGAAAAGCCTGAGGTTTTTCACAGGAAATGTCAGGCCAGGCACTTTCCACATCCTTAAAAATAAATAAATGGACTAAGAGTTGAAGGTCAGAAACTGAAGGAGCAGCACATTTATTTAAGACAAGCAGAAAGACAGAGCATCTGAACTGAAACAGGTCACCTGTCTGTTCAAAGTTGGAAATCCCATTTTTATTTGGCTCCTGCCTTATTGAGAGTCATCACTGTCTTGACGATGCCTTTGCTTATTGTAAATCTGCCTACCTCTCTTAGGTCAGGAAATCACACAACAGTGCTTGAGTATACAGTCCTGCCAGTACATAGACACCTGCCACGTGTGATACTGTGTTGTTTAAGAATTCCTGTGGAATGGGAATTCCTGGGCATTTTTACACGTGCTTTGGGGGGGGCAGTAATTAGAGCAGCTCTGAGAGCCGCTGTAATTAAAGCACCCAGAGCATCTCATATATCAGCATCCACACGCTATCAAAAACACTATAATTACAGCACGTTGGTATAACCTCCTGGTTCACGTACAAGCACCCCACATTTAAAGTAAAATGTGTAGCTGTAGCACATCATCATATTTAGTCATTCCATATATACTGGGTGTGGCAAAGCACCTTTGGGGTGCTTGCCACCTGGCAGGGGCTGCAGTAGGATGGGGCAGAGCCCAGCAGGGAAGACAGCCAAGTGCAGCCCCCCCACCCCCGATCTCATTCTAAGGGGGGAGGTATGTGGTGGAGCACCTTTGGGGGTGCTCGCCACTTGAGGGCTCTCACAGGCTCTGAGGGGAGCCTGCTTTGGAGAAGTAGCAGGGGAAACATCCCCCAGGTAGCATTTTAAGGGGAGAGGTGTGTGGCAGGGCGCTGTTGGTGCCTGCCACTTTAAGACCTAGGCCAAACAGCCAGCAGGTGCCTGACTGCAGCAGCCATTTTAGATTCAGGGCTGCCTGTATAAACAGGGCAGTTCCCTGCTGACAGGGCAGGCAGCAACATTGCCTGGCTGCAAAGCTTCACGTATCATCCTGGAGGTAAGGGCAAGAGCTGTAGGGGATGGCTAGGAGGCTCCTGGTCCTGGGCATGACTTAAATGCACCCTGCCGGGAGTGGGTGGCCTGGTGGGGCTCTGAGTGGCACGGGAGCCCCCAGGATATGCCAAGCCAGTTACCACCCCAGTAAAAGGCGGGTAGGGGTACCTTACCCCTAGCCCTCACCTTCGGGTGAGTCTGGTAACACCAAAGGTAATTGGGGGGCCAGGCATGGCTGTGGCCAGCTGAGCCCTGTGGGGTGCAAGACCCTGTGGAAAAGTAGTTGGGGCCAGGCATGGCTACGGCCACCTGAGTCCGCCGGGGAGGGAAGCCCCGTGGCCCCCAGTGAGGGAGCGGTTTGGATCCCCGAGTGAAGGGGATTAGGCCAAGGTATGTTTCTAGATGCCTGAGGCTGTAATTTGGGCCAGAGGCCGAGCGAAGGGGGCTCAGCCCGAGAGAGAGGGGTGAGTCCTGACCCCAGTAAGTCCTCCACCACAGGGAGGCCGAGTGTGGGTCAAAAGCAAGACCTATAGTGAGCACAATGACCTGCTGCTCCAGGGAGGGGAGTGAGAGTCCCCGTGAGACCCTGGAGCACCAGTCGTGGTGTCAGACAAGAACGCCCTAGTGAGGGGTAGCCCCAGAAAGGGGGCAGAGATGAGGTACTCCAGTGTGGGGAAGAAGAACTGGAGGGCTGAGGGCCCAGTATGTTTATAT